AGTAGAGATCTTTCTCAGTTGGAAGGAGTAAGATGACAAGCTTGCAGCTTCTCAGCCTACAAACTACAATCGTGCAAATGACATCTTACTACCAAGGTACTTATTGATGTAAACACAGACTTAAATCACTTGGATATTAATAAGACATTCTGAAGGCATTACTAGGGCATAGTAAGGCTTATTAAGGCATAATAAGGCATTTGAAGAAACCACAAACTGCAGCAGTGCAGCAACACAAACTACAGCACCAATGTCTTCAAACCAAAATCTAAATAGAGAGAACATGGCACAACTCTGCCTATGCACTCCAACTTTTTTTTTTCTTGCTAAAGTAGCTTCCAACAATGTATTTCTTAGTTGCTCTTTTTTGTTTCTTTCTAGGTCACATCAAAAAGGACTTCTATCCAGTGTTCCACCAACAGACAGCATTAGAAATAACTAGATCACGTAATCTCCACTAATATGTGCTTGTAACACTTTCATGATGAAAACTTGACAAAAGGACACTTTTTTTAAACACAAACTTAGAAGTAGTAGGATTTTTCTCCTAGCTGACCTGCTGTGATTCAAGAGGATCCATGACTAGTGGTTTGGACGCAATTTGCCTTCTCTCCCCTCAAACTATACTCTGCAAACTCATTAAAAACACCACCTTATCTCTCTCCCACTTGATGGCATGAACACAAGATACACTGCCTCAAATGCATAAATTCAATTTAAGCGTAGAAATGCAAAGTGAGGCTGGAGTAATGTGACTCTTCCAAAAAAAAAAAAAAAAAAAGGCTAAGCTCTTAACACTTAATGAAGAAGCCAGTGACCTTCTCAATTCTCCTCACTTGCATTCTGAGCTTTCAATTAGAATCCCCTTTAAGCAGTGTAGGATATACGACTCAACTGATGAAGCTGACTCTTTGGTAAGCTTGCAAAGCAACAGATCCTTTCAAGCAAACTGTTAGACAAACTCTGGAGTACAGGACCTTCTAAACAGAATTCAGGAATACGGGGTGAGCCTCATTGCTAGCAGCAGCATACAAAGACACTATTAAATGTTATTTATGTTCCCCTCTCACAGATTGTCATACCAAACAGTTGTATCCAGCAATTTCATCTCCCCATTGAGCTATCCTGCAAGTGAGTGAAGTCACCACTCTTTTTCAAGGCCAACTAAGGTTACACGCTTACAGATGTCAATTAGTTACTGATTCTGAACAGGAACCTAGACACTGCACACACTCTTTAAACAGAAAAAAAAAAAAAGATCTCATTTATTTTACCTTGTTACTATTTGTGAACCAGCGAGCTTCCAATTCTGAGAAATGAGAAAGAAAAACCAATACAGCTATGTCCTCATTTAACAACAATTCGTTTTCTTACAGCAGTTGTAAAAAACGATATGGCCTTCTTGATTTATAACCCTATTTCACATACACTGATAGCTTCTCATCTTGACCTTGCTGTTCTGCTGAGATTCAGTATTCTGAGTTTCTGCTGCAGCTTCCTACAATTTAACACATGTACTGGTGAGTCATGAATTACATTCACACTTCCATGGCATAATCCCATCAGAATTAGTTGTCCAAATGAACTTGCAGCACTGGTCCATTGGTATGCTGCATAATCCTACCCTTTACCAACAGGAAATTTGGTATTTTATGAGGAGGTTGTGGTGGTTTTTCTTGGGTGGGCAGCTGAGCTCCTCTCACTCCCCCTCCTCAAAGGGAATGGGGGAGAAAATGATGAAAAGGGCTCAAGGTTCAATATAAGGACAGGGAGGTCATTCAACAATTATCATGACAGGCAAAACAGACTCAGCATAGGGAGATCAATATAATTTATTGCCTATCACTAGTAGACTAGACCAGTTACAACTAAAAATACCCTCCCTCCCATCTACCCTCTTCTACCTCCTCCCATCAAGCAGTGCAGGGGAACAGGGAATGGGGGCTGCAGTCTCCGCTGCTCCTTCAGAGTCCCTCCCTGACCCTGCTCCCCGTGGGGTCCCTCCCATGGATGCCGTCCTTCCCCAACTGAGCCTGCGGGGGCTGCCCACAGGCAGCAGCTCTTCAAGCACTGCTCCCACACGGCTCCGTCCCACGGGGTCCATCCATCCCGAGGAGCAAACTGCTCCAGCACGGGTCCCCCACGGGTGGGGGCAGCTCCCCCCAGACCCCCTGCTCCTGCGGGGGCTCCTCTCCACGGGCTGCAGCTCCGGCCCGGGGCCTGCTCCTGCGGGGGCTCTCCATGGGCCGCAGCCTCCTCCAGGCCACATCCACCTGCTCCAGCGGGGGCTCCTCCACCCATGGGGGGGCTGCAGCGTGGAGATCTGCTCCATGGGGGACCCATGGGCTGCAGGGGGACAGCCTGCTCCACCAGGGGCCTCTCCCTGCACAGCCCGCAGGGGAACTGCTGCTGCCTGCCTGGAGCACCTCCTGCCCTCCCGCGGCACTCACCTGGGGGCTGCAGGGATATAGCTCTCTCATTTCTCACTCCTCTCTCCCAGCTGCTGTTGCACAGCAGTTTCTCCCTTTCTTAAATCTGCTCTCACAGAGGTGCAAATACCACCACTTACTGGCTGGCTCTGCTCTGGCCAGCAGCGGGCCCCTTATCTGACACAGCGCATCTGCTGGACTGTGCTCACAGAAGCCACCCCTTCAGCCCCCCACTACGAAAACCTTGCCACGTACACCCATTACAGGGGTAAAAATAAACCAAACAGTAATCTTACTGTGAAATGTAGTTTAGGTGGATCACCCATTTCTCTCATCTCGTACAACAAAAGCTTCTGGAGAGACCCAAAAAGCACATCAAGTCATAATAATGTAATATGTAGCTAGAAATAAAAATCAAATTACTTTTTTTCTGCAGCTTTAACCTAGAGCACCTCAATGGGGTTGAACTGTCCAAGACTGTTTGTTGGCAGAGTTCTCACAAACATGTAAACTGATTTGCTTCCTTTTATCGCACTCTTTCTTTTGTAACCTCTTTATCACCTCTCAGAACCAGCTTTAGAAGCAAACTTAGACAAAGAGCTAGCAGCCGAAAAGGCGCCCTTCATTTCTTTGCCTCTGATGTCTTCTCGAATATGTTAATTTCCTTCCTGCTTTCTCTATCAATCTGAATATTCCTTATTCATACCTACATGCAGAGTCCCATCAAAATGGGCTCATGAGCTGACTCTACACTCAGTAGTGTTGCACCACACCACTCCCCTCAACCTTCAATACTTTTTAACTCTTTCAGGAGTGTCCTTTCGTAACTACTGCTCTTCATCCAGATGCAGTCTCTACTCTTCAGCCTAACCTCTCTACAGAGAAAACCTCTACTGTCCAAGCGATTCAGCACCCACTGTTTTGTTTAATATGCAACTCAGAACGCAGACTGACCATTTCCTTATCCAACTCCTTCACTTCTGCTTCTGAATTCTTCTTCCATTTCACCTTTTCTCCAACAGAGAAGAGAGAATTTTAAAAGAGAGAGAGAGATTTGGGGTAAAGACATGGGTGCATGTATGGAAGGGGGATACAAGCTTAATTCAAAGATCTCACTAAAAATATACGACTGATTTTAAAAGATTTTTGCCAATTTTACAGAAACAGGCACGCAAGGGCTTTGAAGATGCTGCCCCATTTTTTCAACTTTGGCTGCTGTGCATTTTAAGAGTTAAATGCTTCACATTACAAGGGTAACTGTGAAACCTTCCCCTGGGACAGCAAACAGCTGCCTGCTGTAATATGTGTTTATTCTTGGTCTATCACATCTCAAATCCCTATCTCAAGCAACAGGAATCTCAAAGATGTTGCTCCTTGTCCTTTGTGTCATACAAAGTATTGCATTAATGTTCCAATCCTTATCAAAATAGAAAGGTACCTATTTTGCAAGCAAAAGAAACTTTTCATTCTAGGTCTCTAGACACAGCTGCAGAGGTATATACAACAGTATAACTATCCCCAAAGGCCTAAGAGATCTTCAGCAAACAAGCTGAAAAGCACTCTGTGCAAACAGTTCCTGGCAGTACTTGGTAAGAAGCAGGAAGAAGTGTGCCCGCGCAACTTGTTCAGGTCACACTTACCTTCAGCGCTATAAGTTTCATATATTCTTCCTTTTCAGCTGCAGCTACAGATACTGGTTCTCCTTGGCAAGTATTCCAGTATTCGTAGCACCGTATCATAGAACAGCTTGGGTTGGAAGGGACCTCGAAGCTCACCTAGTTCCACCCCCCAACCCCATCCCATGGGCAGGGATGCCTCCCACCAGGCCAGGTTGCCCAAAATCCCACTCAACCTGGCCTTGAACACTTCCAGGGATGGGGCATCCACAGCTTCTCTAAGCAATCCGTACCAGTGCCTCACCACCATGAGTGAAGAATTTCCTCCTAACCTCTAATCTAAATCTCCCCTCTTTTAGCTTAAAATCATTCCCCCTTGTCCTGTCACTGTCTGCCCAGGCAAAAAGTCACTCTCTCTTTTTGTAACCCCCCTTTAAGTATTGAAAAGCTGCAATAAGGTCACCCTTGAGCCACTTCTGGCTGAACATCCCCAGCTCCCTCAGCCCTTCTTCATAGGAGAGGTGCTCCAACCCTCTTATCAACTCTGTAACCCTCCCCCGGATCCTTTCCAACAGAAAAACATCCTTCTTGTGCTTGGGGCCCCAGAGAACAGGTACAATTTTTGCTAGCATATAAAAATCAGACAACGGGTCATGAGAAGTTGTATGAACACCATTCCACTTCTGGAAAATGGGAACAGAATTACTGGTAAGGCTTCAGTCATAGCAACTACAAACCCATCAGTCAGTCTGCATACAGAGCTACAGATGACCAGCTCTTTTACAAAGACAAAGCTGAACAATCTTTAATTCAAATGCATTTATGAGTAAGCATTTCAGAATCGTAACTGAAGAGAGCAGACTGAAACACCCACAGACATTCTTCATTTCCTCTCCATCTTCCTGAGAAGGAATGGTTATTTCTGATAGCAAACAATTTCATCAGTACAGAAGACTCCCACAAACTAAAAGCTTTTGTTTTATTTATGTATCAGCTATGTAGTAAAGTACATTCAGGAAATACTTGAATCTATCTGGCATTTTTCAAGCATCTGGCAGCTGCTCCTTTTACAGATAACAATTATCCCCTTTTTAACGGCAGAGTGTTACATCATTAAAATCAATCTCTTGAAATCCATAAATATACTGATATTTCTGCCTAGTTAAAACCTACTGGATGATTCAGGTCTTAATGTTAACTTCTGCAAAATGAAGCATTATGAAAGATTTATTTTCTGTTTAGCAGTATCACTTCTACCGATACAATTTTGGTTGCATCACCGATAAACAATATGCACCTATGAAGTCTTAAAAGAATAAAATCTGAATAACTACCATACACACTATCTGGAAAAATATCACAGATGTTTAAGGATAAAAAGAAAAAGGTTTTAATACATTTAATTATTTGATTCAGATAATTATTTACAGACTATGGCCAAGCAACGAGGAAACAAAATACAAATGCTTCAGTGTTTCTTGCACCTTTTTCCTCAGACACTTGACTTGTATTTTTAGCTTAAGTAGTTGTTAAACCCACTGCTACACAATCTAAGCAGAAAATCCTTCTTTGGTTATACCACTAAATCATTAATACCATTAGTGGTACAACAGTTCACTGCTGTACCACTAATGATACTAATATCTTCTTGGTTACTATAGAGATAAATTTGTAATCCAGCTAATTGGAGTACAACAGTAAAAAGTCAAAGATCCCCAAGTTGTGTTCACACAAAGAATGAACAAAGTAACTTTAATAAAAAATGGTATTTGTTTTCACCACTAGTACTGCACTGATGGGCAAAATTGTCTCTGAAAGTCAACGTATGTTAAAAGAAGACATCACATTTTGTGATGACTAAATGAAGTAAATGATAAGTAGGTACAAGAAGTAAAATTCAAACTATATAATCAGAGCTTATTTTCATTATAAAGGAAGCTATGTCTGCAGATTCTTTCTGGACTGCAATAACTTGATTGTTTGCTTGACAATGCAAGTTCTAAACTCTTTTCTTCATCCAAAAAAAGTCCTTACTGGTCAGAAATAGCTTGATCATCACAATCTACTCAAGATCAGAATGCCAGTATCTTCAGATGCTTACAACTGTATTTTTCTTTTCTTTTGTAAAAGTTGGTCCAACAAAAGTATGAAAGTGAAATTTGATTTGATGGTAAATGAAGTCCCACTGCTACGGACAAAACTGAAGCTTGCATTTTGTTTGTTGGCAGAAAAAGAATATTCAATTCACAGGAGCGCATATAACAAAACCAAACATGCAATCTATTGCTTTTAAAACCTTTACAGCAACATAACATTAAAGTGAACAGTAATTAGTTATCTATCAATTTTCCCCAAAAGAAATGATGTAAACAGAAGAATAATTTTACCTGTCTGTATATAGCTTCTCAGATTATGGGGGGGGTGGAGGGATTTTTCAATTAATGATCAAGATGATTAACTGAAATAGGTTTTCATTTGAAGAAAACCCTTTTTAATCCAGCATTAAACAAAATTAACTTTTTTTTTTTTTTTTGCACCAATTGAGATAATCTGAAACAGGAAAATAACTACCCATATTTTGGCATTCATGTTTACATTTGCCCAGATTGTTTAGATTTCGCAAAGCTGCTATCCAGTGTTGCCATGAAATACAGATTGTAGAATCTAGGTAGTATAGTCTATTTCCAATACCAATATTAAGTAGAAAGGAGCACGAAGTAGGGCATTATACTACATTTCTGGAACTAGTACAGTAAGAATGAAACCCTAGGAAAAAAAATTAAACTACAGTTTATAGAAGGAACTAAATACCTGCAGAAGCTGATTTTTGGTTGTATATTATTTTACATGGTGTAATTTGCTGCATCTGCTAATTTAAAGCAGACTTACATACTTTTCTCTTTACTTTGTTTCCAACATTTTCTTCTCCTCCACCCTTATACCATACACCAAGCATTATGAATATAAGCCCAAATATCCCAGACAATCCAGTGAACGAAGTTAGTGTAATGCACTGGTGTGAGGTGTGAGATAAAAAAAAAAAAAACAAACACGTCTCTCAATCTTCATCAAAGTTCTGTTGTAGAAGAAAATTGGCAGCCAAGTTTTCATTCTTCTCACAAGCAAAGTATGCTTGTATCACAAGTCCCTCAGGAAATCCTAATGCCTTTAACTGAAGAAAAGAAACATGTTTAGAAAGCAAAGTTTGTATAATAAACTTCTTTGTATGTCTAGTTATCTTCAGATGCCACTTAAGCAATTTAATGCTTTTTTTGAAACAACACTGCTGTATAGCTCAATATAGCCTCTAGTGAGCAGAGTTAGAAGGTGTTGTCTCTGTCCTTACTAACCAGAACTAAGTTCTTATTTGAAAAATGTAATGTACATGAGTCCAAGGAAGCACCATAAATTATATCGCTTTTCTTTCACTAACACAGTAAGTCACTAAAATAGACTTGGGTCACAGTAATGTCAGGAAGTAACTGCACTTTGCATTGCTATTGAAAAAACATTGAAACAATGCTTATTTTAAGCTATTAATTATACAAAGCTCAGTAATTTTAACAAAACTTGCCTGGAGCAGTATCTCCCAGCCTCTGATTTGTGCATTACTGGCAGAGCACAACATACCATGTTATGCCATACTTCCACTTGTTTTAACTGGCTTTCATTGTTTTTAAAAATGACTAAACATTTCAGCTATACAAGCCAGCTGAGCGTAATCTGTTCTTCAGAAGTCAGTGGACTAATGTCTGGGACACAGTGACAAACAGGCATCAGAATACTAGAGGAGAGATTGTTATAGTGGAAACAGGTTTAGCTTGCACTTAAAGAAACTCAGCAAAACAATCTTTGTTTTAGCCATAGGCAAGTAAATACTGTCATTTAGGGATTTTCTTAAAATCCTCACAGCACCTGCAAGACATTTTTACATATGGGACAGATCAAATCTCTGCAAGAAACTACTTTCTTTTATCACTTATAAACCATTCTTAGATTTTTGTGCATACAAACAGCATCAAGATATCAGCTGTAGCACTATGATACTTAAGTTTTAAGGTGTGTTTTTGATGTAAAAAGGAAGAAGCACACATCCCACTTCGTAGGATTTTGCAACAGGTTGTAGAGGTAATAATCTACTGCATAAAATGGCTTTAAAAGGAAATGCAGCAGACTACAGATGATCTGTCAAGAAGTGGGCAGTTTTATTAGGCTAATTTTGTCTAATGACCATTTTCTTGATATTTAGAAGGTTGACACCTATATTAAAGGGTTTTTCTGATAATCCTTACAAAACCTTTCTGTTAAAAAAATCTCTTTGATAAACAACAGAAATGTTACTACACTATGACACAATTCTTCACAGTTTGTTCTTTTAAAAAAATCAAAACATCTCAGGGGCATTGCTATCTATGTAAATCCATATTTAGTGAGCGTTACACATAGTATTTATGAATGTGGTACACCCTCAAAAGCTTATTTTTATAGACATATTTACCTGTGTAAAAGCTGTAATTAACTAATTCTAAGGGACAGACAAATAACTGGGTTAAGAAGTGACTTTAACTAATCTACTTAACTATGAGAGCTTTAACTATCCCAATAGTTTGCTAAGAATGACCATACAGGCACTCCTTTGTACCTGGAAATGCATCATAGTTAGCACTACCTTAAACAGTACTGTCTGAGACTTTTGCAAGAGGATCCCTTTCCTCTGGGAAATTCATTCAGTCATCAATTATTAGAGATAGCCTCTGATCACTTACAAGGCTCTGCATCTTTCAAGTAAGGACTCAAGAGATCTTATACTCACTGGCTATAGAGCAAGATGATGTGATTTGACAAACTAGGCTACACCAACTATGAGTTATCAAAAATCATTCAAAACTACTGAACACAGAATAATAAACATAGCATTAAAGTATATTCTAAGCATGCAAAAAAAAAAAAACATAGTGAACACCCTAAAAAAATAGCCAAATAACACTTAAAAGCAGAAAGGCTTACCCTTTCTATAGCTTCTTTTTCCTGAGGTGTTACTTGAATGTAGTTCATATGACCATTTCCAGCTTCTGCTACTCCTCCAGTGCTGGCACCATCATCACTGCCACTTAAGCCCTGGCGGGATTCTGTAACTGGCTCATTCAGCATATGAATAAAATGCTCCTGGTGTTGGCTTATTTGCTGTGATGCAAACGAGAATAAAAGGAAGAAATATACTGAAATAAAGCACGTTTAGTTCTGCCAACAAGCAAGTAAAAACACTTACTATTTTCAGTAAATTATGCAGTCAAAAGCAAGGGTAAAAATGTGTAGTAAAATATGATTAAATCAAACCAAAGGAAATTCAATTTCATGTTTAAGTTCTGTTGCAGTGACCCTCCCCTCTTGGGTTGGCAGCCCAGAAAGCCAGCCGTATCCTGGCTGCACTAAAAGCAGCGTGACCAGCAGGGCTGGGGAGGTGATTGCCCCCCTCTGCTCTGCTCTCATGAGACCCCACCTGGAGCGCTGTCAGCTCTGGGTCCCCCAGCACAAGATGGGCATGGACCTGTTAGAACGAGTCCAGAGGATGGCAATGAGAATGATCAAGGTACTGGAGCAGCTCTCCTATGAAGACAGGCTGAGGTAGTTGGGGTTGTTCTGCCTGGAGAAGAGAAGGCTCCGGGCAGACCTTACAGCGGCCTTCCAGTGCCTAAAGGGGGCCTATGGGAAAGCTGGGGAGGGACTCTGTCAGGGGGAGTACTGATAGGACAAGGGCCAATGGCTTGAGCCTAAAAGAGGGTAGATTTGATTAGATATAAGAAGTAAATTCTTCAGAGAGTGGCAAGGCACTAGCACAGGTTGCCCAGAGAAGCTGTTGATGTTCCATCCCTGGAGGTGTTCAAGGCCAGGCTGGATGGGGCTATGAGCAATCTGGTCTGGTGGGAGGTGTCCTTGCCCACGACAGGGGGATTGGAGGTAGGTGATCTTTAAGGTCCCTTCCAACCCCAACCTTTCTGTGATTCTATTTTCCATACTGCAACAATTGATGAAAAGCCAACAACAGCATGATGGAACTGCTACTAACATGTTATCTTAGGTAATGTCAACATCTCCCTTTTTTCTAAGTCTAAATCAAAATTAGTTGTAACATTTTGTTATTTAAAGATTCACCTGTAGTAGCTGAGGGTTTTCCCGTCCAATCTGTTGTAGCAATGCTGGTAGCAAAGAAGGATTTTGCTGAATGATTTGTCTCATCTGCTGGAATTGAGGCTGATTTCGCAAGAACTCAAGTGGATGTCCTGACACACAGCAAATTAAAATGCTTTTAAAAAGTTAGCAAGACTGTTATAAAATGCATACTGACATTATAATTGTAGACAGAAACAGAACACAGAAGTGGACAACGTACCCCTCATTAAAAAAATACAAGAATTTATTTCCTCACACTAACTCTATAGCTTTAACCGGGAATTCTTTCTACTAAGGTTAAACCAAGTCTTTTCTTCTCACCCAGCTCTCTCTGAAGATCCAACAGGCTTCTGTCCCTGATCTCCATCAGATTTCTCTTTAGTTCTTACCTCTGAGTAACCTCATTCTGAGACACGTAGCCAGCTAATGTCTGGTCTCTACATCTAAAAGTGAGTTCCACCTCTTGCAATCAGTCACTTCTTTCCTTCTCAAGCGAAGTCTTAGCATCCCACATACCTAGTGCTATTAGGTATTGTCTTCGATTTATAACAGTTAGAAGTGTTCTGAAACATCCCATTCCCCAACTCTCTCTTCACAGATGATGCCATGACTACCTGTCAGTCCTACCTGTGTGTTTAATACTCTGTCCTCTAACAAGGCTTACACCTTGGACACTGTCTCTGCCATAGACCAAGACAGACCTTTCCTAGTCACTGACTATATTCCTTTCATGTATTTATTTCCCCTTCAGACAGTGTTCTTTGCAGCAGGCTCTAAACCCTCTATCCACATGGCACACTGCAGCGCAAGGAGTCCCAGCTCATGGTAGGTCTCACAGGTGCTGCATTTGACTGCCTCCTGGTATGTGTCCTCCTTGATATTCCAACTTCCAGGCGGTAAATGTATTTGAACAGTCACACTCAACAGTGTACAGGGAAACACAACAGTAGGAAGCTATAGCTTAAGCACATATAAAAAGCCATCTGTTCTAAGGAAATACCATACTTATGAAATTTTCATGTTACGGTTTTTATGCAATTCACTTTGATCAGTCCATGGAACTTAAATTCACTGAAGCACAAAGTGCTTAAAAGCATACGTTTATCACATCCTCTCACATATAATCTTTCTTACCTCCTAATGAACTAGCAGTTGTAGGTATAGTTGCTACGGCCGCTGCCACAGCTGGAGACTGAGAGGAACCAGTGCTCGCTGCTTGAGGGGGTTCAGCCACAGCCTGATTATCTCCAGGTATACCCTAAAGCCACAGTTGACATTATTACCTACAGAACGCTAAAAAATATTTGGTTTACTGCGTGTATTATTTACTCTTTAGAACAAAGCAAAAATATTAATGTTTTTACTGCAAATACAACGCAAGATGCTGTGACAGGTGCATTTACAGGTGGAAGAGGATACTGTGACAAGAATGATTTATTTTTGACAATGAAAATATGTGGCTTGTATAACTAGCTAGTAAACCATGTAATGCATTGGTTTAAAAGCACATTTAAGTCTGTAAACAATACTTGCTTTGAATTGTGTTCCGAAATATTTGACCTGAGTAGAAAAGTTTATTTTCATAACACCATAGCATATTATAACACTGCATTTAGTTAAAGTTACGTTACAGCAACAGAATCATAGTACACAATGCTAGCTGAGATTATAGCTATATAGTTGATCCATTTTTCTGGCAAGATATTAAGGAGACATCAGATCATAGCTCTCTGGACCTCTTTTTTCAACTGAACAGCTTGACGGTTGTCATTTACTCTATCTTATGTGTGGAAAGGACTTCAGGTTATCAAACTTTCAGCAGTAAAGAGAAATAGTTAATTTGTATTTAGTTTTTGTTTAGTTTGCTGCATGCAAATAGCGTTACCTATTTATGAATTGCTCAAGGTAATTAACCTAACAAATCTAGAAATTACAAATTATACCACATTAAAAGGCAGGTTATGCAGCCCAGACAGACCTTACCCTACTACCTTTGTCCTACAAGAAAACGCTTACCACCCTAACCATGCTCTTTGTCACTGAATTCCTGCACCAAATTTGCTCTTTCCACCCTCCTACCTGCAGCCTACAAACTACCTTTGTGCCCTTCTTCAGAGCAACCTTTTGCATCTTAGCATGGGATAGACACCGAGAAAGATTCCTATATGACTACAGCCCTGTGGTACAGGTAAGGAGAATTGCCAGAGAGGAACCCAAAAGAGGCACACTCCAAAGAGCAGTAAAGCTCCTTACACACAGACAGAATCAACTGGTGAAGCTATGCTGAACCCAACCCCAAAGGGACAAGACTATACAAGATCCTCTACTTCAAAGCACTGAATTTCCAGGGCGCAAAAAATTGAGAACAGTCCAGGAAGGCAACAACACTGGTGTAACAGAATAAATTTCACCTAACTCAGAAGAAAAAAAGCACCCTTCCATTTGGAAACAACTACACATAAGGAACAGGGAGAGTGGACAAAAAAAAAAAAAAAACAACACAGAATATCTGTACTGTTTTTGACTGGGATGGAGTTATTCACTGTAGGTGTATGAGTCTGTTTTGGATCCGTAAATAGTGTTGATAACACACTGATGTTTTTAGTTGATGCAGAGCCGTGTTTGCACAGAACCAAGGACTTTTCAGCTTCTCACAGCTGCTGGCAAGGAGGCTAGGGGTGCAGCAGGATCTGCGAGGGGACACAGCCAGGACATCTGACCTTGCCTGCCCAAAAGGATATTCCATACCACATGGTGCCATACTCAAAAGATTTGGGAAAAGAGTAAGAAAGAGAGGATGTTCAGAGTTACAGCGTATGTCTTCCCAAATAACCTTTATACATAATGAAGCTTTCCTGGCAACAGATAAACATCTGCCTGTCAATGGAAAGTGGTGAATGAATTCCTAGTTTTGTTTCACTTGTGCAAGCTGCTTTTGCTTCACCTATTAAACTGTCTTTATCTCATCCCACAAGTGTTCTCATTTTTACTATTCTGATTCTCTTTTCCATCCCACTGTAGGGAAGTGAGCAAGCAAACCCATGGTGCTTAGCTGTGTACCAGGGTTAAGCCACCACATCACCGTAACCAGACAAATAAGCAGTTAGGTAAACCTACCATAGAAGTCAAGTGGTACGTAATGTAGATTGAAAATTCTGCTATAACGGGTTCTTCCCATGATATGTTCGTTGCTGTAGCTGAACAGAAGGGACAAATATGCAGATAATATAACAGCCACGTCTAAAAGGGTGGAACTGCACAGTGTTCCATGAAAAACCTTGCCTTACCTAAAGAAGTACATCAAGATATAAGCCAACTAACACACTGAGTCCATATTTAAGCCACTCAGTGTAATAAATGCATTTTTTCCAGTCACGCATTTTATTACCTTTATCTGTCTTGATCAGCTTGCTACACTTCCATCCTTCCACAGAGGGGGGAGAAAATTACATTCATGACACGATTTGTAACTCTCTCTTTCACCACTGCTTTACAAAGCAGTACTTAAATGCCTTTTCACATCAAATCAGCTATCTCTGGGAATCCAAACATAATATATGAACTATTGTATGATGGAGTATGTTGTGATAGGACAAGGGGTAATGTTTTTAAACTAAAAGAGAGTAGATTTAGATTAGACATTAGGAAGAAATTCTTTGCTATGAGGGTGGAACAGATTGCCCTGGAAAGTGGTGGATGCTCCATCTCTGGAAGTACAAGTGTTGAAATCCAAATTGGATGGGGCTTTGGGCAACCTGGTCTAGTGGGCGATGTCCTAGCCCATGGCAGAGGGTGTGGAACCAGTCAATCTTTGAGGTGCCTTCCAACCAAAACCATTCTATGGCTCCATGATTTTATGAATTGGGGATCAATCTCCTGAAATCGCAGGTTGACTTCATGTATTCACAGGCTTATGTAGTCATTGCGATCTGTATCCATACCAAATCGCAGATGTTTGTTTAAACTTTAAGGCTGCTCCCAAATAGAAGCACTATGGAAACTAGTCTAACCAAATTTACTTAGAAGATAATTTATCATTTTGAACATTGTCTCAATCCTTTAATAGAATCTTGAAGTCTCACTATCCCAAAAAAAAAAAAAAAAAAAAAAAAGGGTCTATATGATGGTACTCAGATGAGACTAGTGAGATGTATACACCTAGTTTATTCAGCTATATGAAACATAATAAATCATGATATCAATTCACATAAAATTAATTGGTAATGTAAACAGTGCTTGGACTGTGAGAAGGGCATCTCTGCCTTATGGTGGATTAAATCTGTTTACAGTTTAACTAAGCACTGGAGCAGTTTTTAGCTGACATTTTTCACCACAGGGACACATAATAACCACATCAGGCCCAGCCCAGGGAATACATACATTTCCAAACAAAGAGTTTGCAACCAATGGTCTGATGGTTGGATGAAAGACAGAACTCCTTCCTAATTAATGATTAAGAAATCCTTGGGTCAAAAGCAGATTTGAATCTAAACGCCTCCCAAAGACGCGTCTGAAGCATAAGAAACAGTGTGTTTTGGAACAGGAACCTCCTACAAACACAGCTGAGGCATATAGGATTACAGAGAATCTAGATCCCCAGCCATGAAAACTGAACAGCTTGTCATCTGAATTACTGACAGCAAGTGGAATCTTCAGTGCTAATCTAGGGAACAGCTACAGTTTAAGCACTGATACTCTCTTGACCTTTTCTTTCCAACAGTTTACAGGCACATTTCTCGTACCGACTCTTTAAAGCAGGATAGTGGACTACACTTAAGAGCTCAAATTCCTAACACTACTCTGCAAAGTATCTAAAAGATAACTCTGATGATTGTTTGGAGTCTGATAAAATAGGAGATCAAAGAACTGTGTAATCACTGGATCAGTACCAACTAAAGAAAAGCTTTCTTGATGCAGGAGGATGGTAAGGAATATTTTTAGATCAGACTTAGAACAATCCAAAAGACTTTTTGCAGTAACTGCATTTTTCTAGGAGGAAAATAGAAGTATGTCCACTAATATGTTCCCTAAGTGCAAAACTCCTTCTCCCTACTCCTTTTTCCAACTGCTAGAAGAAGAATAACGAGAACATATTTTCAGTAAGGGATAACATGAAACAGGAAGGGATCAACTTGTGTTAACAGGAAGACTCATTCAAACGTAAGGACCGACTGAGAAAGAGATGAACTGCTGAATACAAACAGACCAGTTTGGTAGACATGTCGTGCATTGAACTTCATTGGAAGGATGCTCTGTTTCTGTTTCCTGCTTTCTGAGCGGGAATAAGCTAGAGCAGGGAAATACCATTCTGACTGCAAAGGCACTACAGCATGCACGACTGATGCATGCACAGCAAATGGCAACACTTCTAAGAGGCACTGGATTTACGCACAGACCAAATGCACAATGAACCTACAGTAAAACCAACACTTGTAAAGCATGAAGAACAAATATTTGAGACATTCAGACAAACAGCAGCTGGACTGGTATTTGCCCTTAGGGCAACACAATATTCATCACCTTTGTTTGGCCCAATACCACACGAGAACTTGACTGTCTACAATCATATACTCAAAACATTTGTTGCCCATTTAAAAACTGTGGGTTACAAAGTCTTGGTGTTGTTAATGTGAGTAGCAGCTATGCTGGTGTTGTCTAGTTGTAACTACTGAAGAAAAAAATTAATTTACAAAATAGAAGCTTCACAAGAGGTCAGGATACCAGCTTTCCTATCGGTCTATCTCACATTCTGTTCAAGGTATTTGAAAGGTTCATTTAACCCTTCAAACTATGTCTGTAAAACAAGAAATTGTTTCTTGTCCAGAACCCTGCTTAAATTAAAATACCAGTTAAAAATTGAGCACACTTTAAAAAAAAATCATGAATCTTTCTATTTGCAGAATATATTAATATAAACATTGTGCATGATTCGTAAGAATGATAAACAGGAATTTTTAAGATGCCATTGTGAAGTTACATATACTAATACAAAAATACAGCTAGTGTTGTCACTAATATGTCACAACAATCACTTCTTGAGCCAGTCATTAGCAGCTACAACTATCACTGAAACTGGGCATCCTTTACGGATATAACCACAACAATCAACACAGAATAAAAACAAGAAGTGATAAATGTAGCTAAAGACAACTTCATTATTTCCTATAATAGCACATTATGATCCTAAAAAACAATATTCAAAATAACAAGTACATCAAAGTTAAAATTCTCATTTAATGAGGACAAACTAAACAATGAAAGAGCAGAGTACACATGAAATAAACTACTCACCATTAAAAGGTACTCCACCGCTCTGTCAGGATTGTTGAAGCTGGCTCTCAATGCTGCAATTACTTGCTCTCGCTCATAGCCCATTGACATGATTTCAGTCACCATATTCTCATAGGACTGACCTGTCACTAGAAGTAACATGATTACCATTTTAAGGGAATAAGGCAAAAGAAAAGCACAAAAAAGTTTCAATGGAGAAATGTCACTTCTATCCAAATCTGAGTCATTCAATGAAGAGTACAGAAGAGCTCATATTAACCTTGCCATGGCTTTGCTGCTTTAACTCGAAATATATTGTGGTGGTTTCATTATGCATTTGATTGGAATAGTAGAGTTCCAAGGTAATGACCACACTGTGAAATTCTATTAAAAAAAAAGCAGAACTTGTTACACTTCTGTCTTCATAGCTGAGGTAATATTCCCTCTCTATGCTGTTCAATCCTTACAGCTACCACTCCATTCCTGCTGTAATTAAGAAACGTCTCCTGCAGCATAAGTTTGGAAATGAAGCTTTCTACACAGAAACCTGCTTGTCAAACTCTAGCCATTGAGAGGTTCCCAGATAAAGTCTTCGCACTAAGCTATGCTTAGATAGATGACAAAGACTTATAACAAAGTTATAACAGCCTATTGTCTATGTGCTGGTGACAACAAGCAAAGTAATTTAATCAACTTAACATGAACCAAATCAAGTCAGGCAGAAGACTGGAAGTTATATCCAGAAGAATCTCTCAACCTTAGTGAGGTTTAAGGAGAAAAAACTATCTAAGCTAATGCATATTTGACTAGATGTCCATTACACCAAATTCTCCACCTTTTAGGGTATAAACAGACTAAAACTGGACCATACCTGCAGACATCAAGAAAAAAAGTATTACAGTATATTATAACACGTATTATATATGAATAACTAGAGGAGAGCTGATTACTGTACTAATGGTATCATAGGTAAGATGATTTTTAAATAAAATACATTATTTTCTTTTGTTAAAAGCAGACAGCAGGCTTTAAAAAAAAAAAAACACCAATGAAAAAATTACCATATTCTGAATTGCAGCTGAGCAACCTTTTAAAGGCTACTTCCCACACAAAACCGAAAAAAAATGAAAAGAAGAAAAAAAGAAATCCAGGAACTAAAATACCAGTTCCTTCCCCAGCTAAAAATATTACTGATTTTAGTGGAACACTACTATTGATTTTTTAAACTTACTGAGTTACTTGGAGGAAAAGGGTGCAATCAACAGTAACCATAAAAAACAACAGATTATAAAAATGTAGAGGAAACAAATGGTACTCTACTAAGACCACTAAGTCACGATTAGAAGAACCAAAGAATATCTCATGTTTTATACCACTAGGGAGAAGTTTTTCAACTCAACCCAAGAGTAGCACAGGCACATTGCTCATTTTAATTTGTTTAAGAATACTTCTGAATAATCATCAGATGCATGACTGAGGGCAATATACTCAAGAACAAATAATAAAACAGCTCTAGCTTAAAGATACTTGTGCATTACCCATTAAGATAAATTGACATCCCTTGGGTAATCTGAGCTCTTACTGTTCAGACTTCAAAATAATAGTATCAATCTGAATTGCTTTCTGCTCATGTTTTCTAGCATACTACCAGTTCATCCTTACTGTTGATAATGAACTAACAAAGGTCGACAGCACACAGAAAACCTTTTGATCTAATTAGTCACTTCTTAAACATTTCTGTTTGCGTAGTGTTTTTTCAATACAGGCTATGTAGAGACCAGAACAGTATGATAGATTATGTACAGGAAAAAAAAAAGAAGCAAAAAGGAAACAGAAGTACTGTGTATCTAGACACATGTACTCCATACACAGTCTACTTACACAAGTGCTGAAGTAACATCAAGAATAATTCAGGAATTGCACATCAGCCATATCATGATACAGTCACATCTCTTTCTACATAGTGTTAACTAAGAATGTCTGTGAGGTCAGTGCTGAACTGATCCTGCTCTTTGCTTCTGTTTTTCAAATAACATGCTAAAGTTGGATGAGCTTTGAAATCCAATTCATTATGCTCCCCAAAATAATTCTTGTTCAATGCCCTAAAGAAAACTCAAGCTGCTCCTGAAAAAGAGGTGTCTGCACAGAACTGCAAGACATGCAGATCTTTCTGTAATACACAAAGCCACACTGATTTCCAGTCAGACTTAATGTCTGAAAACAAAAGCAATTCAGTAGAAAACAATCCCTGTTTCTGAAGTGAAGTCAATTATGTTCAGACAATGTAACTTAGAAGTGACACTAAGAACATGTGTAGGATCCCACTTAGGATGAAAAAACATACTACAGGAATTTGTGCAAGCAAGTTCCTTTTAAAACAGTTTCTAAAGAAAAGGGAGCACAGAGCTCATGCCTATTAGCTTTGAAAATGTTTTGGCATCTAACCCTTCCAGTACACTCAGCCAGAAAACTACACGCAATGCCCAGTATTTCCAAAATGTTAAGGACATGGGTTTATTACACTAGAAACTAAGCAAAGAACTTGCATATAAATTAGGTAAGTGAGGTGTTCTCCTTTTGCTACACTAAAAAAAAAAAAAATATCGGTCAACTCTGAAGATAAATGAATCAAGACCATCAGTTTAATTTAACTTGTTGGTCATTATTGTTTATATGAACAATTATGATAACCACATCTCTGCCATTAAGGTATAATGAATGTTTAAGGAAGCCTGCATGACCTTTCATACCAGCAGTAACTCTTAGAATGTAAGAAAACTCAATTGGTTGTTTCCTATAGTAACTATCACCTATGTCAGCTTATACAGCTCTTCAGTCTGAAACAGCCATAACACAAGACTGTAAGCTGCAGTTAGACAGACTAAACCTGGTGGCTACCACCAGTACAGGTTAAACAATACTTGCTCCTAAATCAACTCTTTCTTACAACATATGCCTACACTGCACCCACACTGCTACACAAAAATGTAAGTGAAACTTTCTTTGATTAGTTTAACTTTTTGCACCAGGATGCCGCTTAATGTTCACAATGAAAGACAAAATGAAAAAAAAAAAACTACCTTCCTCTTTATTTCTGTGTCTTAACTTAATACACTCTAAAAAAAAAAAACTCTAAAAATTTGCCTAAGTAGTAAGGAGTGCGTGGGTTTGTCTAGAAATTTCCTATCTACCAAAGTAAGCATAACTGAGCTGCAGAAGTTTCTTTTTTTTTTTATGCTGCTTATTCCACTAAGAAATGAAGATACTTAAACTGTCAAAGAAAAGTAAACTAAGTATAAGTATACAGAGACATCCACTCCTCAACCTAGACAGAGGCAGGTAAATTTGTCTAATATAAATTTATCAAAGTATAGACTTTGAAAATGCTGTCAAAGCTAAAACAAGGAAATTATAAAGGCAGCCATTTTATCAGCTGTTTTAATCAGACCTGCTCAACGGGAAGCAAAGGTAAAAAGAAAAGCATATACATATTTATGTCCACTGTTTTACCCGTGCCACTTCAAACTGAATAGTTAGAAGAGAAATTAAGGAAAATGAAAAAAAAAAAAAGGAATGGTAAGGATCTTCCTCTTATACAATAAAAATATATGAAGTGAAATATTCTTCAGTAAGGAATTCTTGATGCTGGTTCTAAGATATCAACTTTAATTCTTAAAGAAGCGTACTTCAATTATAACTTTAACAATGACAGATACAGAAGAGAATGTCAATATCTGCTAATCCGTCATTTGTTTCTGCTGCACCAAAATAATGTCTACATTAAAAAAACACTCCACTTACCAAGTGCACTTATAGCATCCTCAAAAAGATTTGATCGAGATGTATCACCTGTTGTACTGTAAGATGAAGACAAGTGCAATGGTAATTACAAAACTTTGGAAAACTTCCTATTTTTCAAAAATAGCAGCAGCAGCTGTAACTCTAAGTGGCCCCTTTTGTTTTTTCTTTTAAAAAAGCAACCAAAAAAAATAGGCTTTCCAAAGATCTCTCTCTTGGACTTATAGTGAGACAAGATTTTGCAAACTTACAATACTACCATTTTTAATACTTAAAGACCAACCTCCCCCCTCTATTCCCCAATATTTTGGCTCTTACCCATCTGTTCAGGGATTAGCCATCTGTTTGCTTGAATACTTCAAAGGGTGGGAGAACACTGTGGATTTTTCAAAAGCACACAGCAGTCTCATTAACTGCTTCTCCTTAGTCACTGGTGTAATTCAGTCTGACCTTAATGAGTATCCAAGGAGGTCAGTGGGAAGCATTTATTAAAAATCTCAGTATCCCACTCGTCCAGTAAAATAAACTGCCAATATTTGCAATCATTCTTTTTCAGGTTATCAAAGTTGTTATGTTACAGGATAAAAGACTCACCAAGGAGCACAGAGGCACAACAGAAGGCTGAGGAACCCCAATAGCCCAGTCAGAGCCAAGGGAGCCCGTCTTGGCTCCTGACAGGGCTACAAGCTGATGCTGATCAGCCCCATGGACTGAGGGTGACAGCCTCAATGGGTCAACAGGAGTGGAGAGGCTCTCCATGGCTCCTTACAGACCCAGGGCATTGCTACTTACAGGGTGATAGGACACATGGATTGCCAGGAAAAGGGGTTGGAAATTGTGCAAGACTTATTACGGATTATCTAGGAGAAGAGCAAAAGGCAGGGGAAGGGAAGTATCAAGGCACTCTGTGGATGAGAAGTATGAGGGGGGCAAAAAAGAGGGAAGAAAGGATTAAAAACGGTCAGTCACATGTAAACGGCACTTGACTGGCCATGCCCTGCACCTGATCACCAGTCTTTTCTACCTTCTAATTAAACTTGATTTTTAACATTTTTTCATGATTAGGAGTGTCTGTCCTTTGTGCATGTGTGTGTATGGAGGTCCAAATGCCAGCCACTGAAGAAGGAGCCACAGGGGCCCACATGCCTGGGATGCTGGCAGCTAAAGAGACTGAAGTGCATGTGTACTGTGTGGATGCCTACACATATCTGTGTGCATTCACCAGTGAACGTCAAGCCCAGTAAACTGGTGAGCAGGCTAAGAGGCTTGAGAGCTACGTATGGAAGGGCTGCGAGTCAGAGTCAGCTGCTGAAGGGCCTGTAATGTCTGGGGGTCAGCTACAGGTACAGTCACAGGCCTCAACCAGGCAGTGAAGAGATCTATTTGTTCACATCTTTATGCATGAGGCAACTGGGCAACCAGGGGACCTAGGGACCAGCCACATGGCATAATGCATGTCTACAGACAGTTCCTGCATGGACTCACCATGCACATGTGTGCATGTGTACAAAGACAGCATGAATATCAGCAGCTGGAGTTGGGTTGCAGAGCTCAGGTGGTTGCATGCACAAATGTTAATTGGAGAGATTGGGAGATCTAGGTCCAGCTACTGGAATAGACTAAGGCCAGCTACTGGATGGATTCATATTATACAAACGTATGCATGCGTGTATTTTCCACTAGTGAGCTTCACCCTTGAGCAGCCAGATGGGAACAGGACAAGACTGCTGGTGCTGTACACTTGCTCGAGTACTGTTTTGATCTGTGATGACCTGTGCAGCCAGCCATATATGTAGGTATATACATACTGTGTGTATGTATACCTCTACTGGGACTACATGCTTGATCTCAATACTTCAGGGACCTGGGTACATGAAGCTGCAGCAGCCTCATGTCTATCAGGCTACCAAAGCTGGCAGCTCATAGCAACAGCTAGTGAAAGATCAGATTAACCTGAGTAAGTGTGCAGAAGATGCCATTAAAAATCTGGCAAGGCACATAGATGCATTTTTCTGGTGAGAAAAAAAAGAACGTTCTAGCAAGAATACCTCACTAGTATCTATCGCCAGTAAGACTTAACAACAACTGAAAAAAAAAATCAAAGACAAAACAGGGCACCAGCTTGATCAGCCAAGGGTCAAAAAAAACTTCACCAGTGAAGGTAATTTAACTTCTAAAGCAAATCAAAACCAAGTAGTAGTCAAAAAAAAAATCAAGGGAGGTGATAACTACAGTGTATTTGTCAGATTACTCTGTTGCGTTATGTCTTTAAACTAAGACTCCCTTACCACATGCAGGTTTTAAAACACTGCAGTTTCTACATGAAAAATCTGGAAAGGTGTTCCAGTTCTGAAGTTTTAATTTAATATTTGAACCCACTGAACAAAGTGAGCAGCAAAAATCCTACTTGTTAACATTAAAACTTAAGTTATTCTATTGACAACTGAAGTTTCATTTGTACCCCACATTAAAAATATGTCCATTTCTCAGAATTACAAAATTAAACCAACAGTTAATATATTTAGTGCAAGATATCTGTGCTGAGATTTTCAGGATACTTGCCAATTGCAAATTTTGTTTCCTCATCACCAAATCAAATAAATATTTGATGGTATTTAAATACCACAATTTTAAAAATTAATGTCTTGTGCAATAGCACTCACATAAATAATATACAAATAATTGCAAGCCAGAGTATGAAAAATGAAGATCTGATGTTATGCAGTACTTTGAGGGCCATTAGGTTATAGTTAACATTTTTATCCCATGCAGTGCTTAAGCAATTTTAGGTGAGCAAAGCCAGAAGTATAGGACAGGAATGTACGTAATCTCTAACTCACACTAGATTTTCTTGAATGTTGAGAATTGAGGTTGAAAACTATTCCAACTCCCACAACTATCTGCAGATGGGCCAAGTATTGTTCAGAATGAATGAGTTTGTGGATTTAATATAATACATGATTAAGAGTAATACTATAGCCTACATTTTGGAAGAAAAAGCTCTTTCCAAAAATTAAGAGTCCTACAGCAACACAGAACTTAGTAGCATGGTTCAAAGCTAACCAGTATGATTGAAAACACAGCCAGAGGTCTATGAACAAGACAGGACACACCTCTTTCAAGAGCTTTGCTAACAGTAGCTCCCCACACTGGGGAGTATCAATCTGAAAGAAAATCTGGGCCACAGGAACTCTGAAATGCCTAAAGGGAGTATAAGCCCTGTGTCATTAAACTCCCCACTCCATAGATTTAGTCAAAAGTCCACATTCCCACACAAAAAGGTACAAGGGGAAAGGGGTACACACTACAGTCAGTAATGTTGTACTTTAGTCAGAGACTGGAGTTAAAAAGAAAAAATATGCAGAACAGAAAAAATGACTGGACTAACACTGCAATGGAAAATTCAACTTAAAGCCAAAACTAGAAGCAACAGAAATGGACAGAGAAGCCAAACTGAAAGCTCGTTCATACCTGTCATTTGATGATGGTCTGACAGCAGCTGGTGCCTCAGGTGGTTTTTCTGCTGGCTTCTCATCTTTAGGAGTACTCACAGGTGCAGATTCACAAGCAACTGCAGCTGGTGCTGGAGTGGTAGGGACAGGAGCTGGCACAGGAGCAGCTGCAGGGGTTGGTGCAGAGGCTGGTGTGGGAGCTGCACTTGTCAAGCTGACAGTGGCAGTAGAATTTGACTGCTGAGTTGCTGCAGCTGCTGCTTTGGGCTATTGGAGGACAACAAAATTCAGACACAGCACAAAACTCCTAAACCAATGCTTTCTAAAGTCAATATGTTGATTAAGTTCTGTTAAGACCACTTGTGCTTGACATTGCGGCCTAAACAAGTATAATGTTAAAATATTCCAAAATATCAACTACAGTGCCCCTTTCTGTGTTTAAACAGGCAACTGGTAGTGTCACCCATGCTTATTCAGACATCTAAGCATCCACACTGTTTGCATATGATGTGAAATGCAGAGATAAGATCTAAATATTTATAGACTGCAATACTCCAAATATGAAAACAATATCGTGTTTTACAAAAGTGCATTTTCAGATTGTCAAGAAACTCTGACAAGTGTAACAAGCGTAAGGTTTTCTCACCACTCACATTTGGAAAGAAGTGATAAAGGCAGAAATCACATTTCATTATAAATGCTATTTTCTGTAACATGAGATGGTAAGAATTAAGGCTAACAGATTTAAACTTAACCTGAAACAAGTTTTAATTATGTTGTCTTTGCATTTAAAGCATTACATAAAAAACATTTCACATGCTTGAGTTCAATAGTGACCACCAAAAATCCAGCAGAATCAAGGGTTACCAGATCTACAGCAAAAAAATTTAGATTTGCAAAAACTCACATGGCTGTGATTTAATCTTCATGCCTCACTACTGGAAACATGTATTAATCATATTAGATATAAATGATTGCAGCCCCTGGCTAAGTTAATGGAATTAAGTTTTTGAGAACTGTATCACTATAGTCCCTTACCTACAGATGGACTGACACAGCAGAGCCATGTTCCTGCCTGACCAAGAGGAACTACTGAATTTAGCATAACACAACTACTTATTCAAGACAAATCACTTGCAGATAATGTTTTCTTAAACTAGGAAAAAATATTTCCTCCTTATGTCTGAGAGTTTGAGAATGAATAGATTCCAACACGGCAGACATGGTAAACATGATTTTAACAAGTATTCATAGGAAAAAAAGCTCAAACGTAAATAGTACTGAGCATCCAAACAGGTTTGCAGTTGTGCTTATGCAACAGGTATCTTTTGCACAGAATTGACTCAAAAGTAGGAAAAATTAACTTAAGGACTTAAAAAATGGACCATAATACTGAAGAACTGCCCAACTCCAAAGTACAGGTCCTTTGACATGACAAGGTATTGGATTTAGCAATTTCTCCTGGGATCTTTGTTTCTTATGCTATAAATAAATGACAGATGAACTCTGAAATCCTATCAATACCAGTTTGCTTCCACTGATTCTCCAGGCAAACCACAGACTAGAACATTTGTTCGTTCAGGAACAGTGCAACAATAGACGCATTCAAATTGAGAATATAATGAACCAACACTGGACAGGAGCAATGTGTTTTTACTTCAGAGGAACACAGTTGGTTTTTTTGTCAGGAAGAAGACCTCTAACTCCAAAATTAACCTTGTATCTCAAGACTTAGATGAAGACAGCTTTATTCAAATTCCAAGTATCTGGAATGCCTAGAAAATCAGTGGCTTGAGTAGAAATACTTCAAATATGTGTCACAATCATTCACTTCCATTTGCCATTGCAGTCTTTCAAAAGATTTTTTGACATATGTTATCTGTTAAGCCACTAGGTTTAAGCTGCTGAAAAGCAACAGGGCAAGACTGAAAAAAGTTCTATTCAATCAATTTAGTTATGATCTAGCATCCAGTCTTCCTTTTAAGCAAATCCCAGGAAGGATATCCCAGAGACAATAAAGAAGGAATAGCAAAATCAAAGTCTGTCAGTGGCAAATATTTTCTCCAGTATAAACATCCAGAACAGAGCAGCAACAACAATCAACTTGGTTGCACAAGGTCTGAGAAGTAGTATTTCAAATCTATTCACATAATCATTTTACTGTTGACCAAAATCCTCAGATAACCACTATCCATTGGTTTCAAGGCATGTATAATCAATCACTCATAATAATAATAAAAAAAGTGAATGCAATTTTGTTTTCAAAAATAAATATTACTCACTTTTGTCACCATAACCACCACAAAGTTCTTCTCATCTATTTTGTATTCTTTAAGAGCAGTATCATCATTAAGAATTTTACCTGGCAAATAAATCAGATGCAAGTTTGTAAGAGGTCATTCAACAGATTGTTACACGAGCTTGCTTTTCCCTTACAAAAACAGACCTCCAAAAACACAGAAAAACAAGTCTTATGCAGGCTTATGAACACTAATAACTGTACAAAGATTCTAGCCATTAAGTTTTGGCAGTATATTTCCTATTAATGTTCCTCCTATGATGTCCCCAGTACTAGTTAGCTAGGAGACAGTCTTTCTACTTTGGTAGAATGCCCAACACTTGCTCAAAGTGTTGAATATGCTTCAAGTCATTTAAAACAGAAGTGTAAAATCTAGATTTAACTTTTAACACAGAGATGCAAGTAATGCAAAGGAAAGACTTTAGCGTACAATAAGCTGAACTGAGTATCTTATGCCTGCTTATATACTCTAGACATAATGAGAAAATTCCTGTCTGTTCTCTTCTGTTAGCACTTAAATTTAGAGAACTGTTTATGGTTCCCTGCCACAGTTTAAGTTTATCTACTTGAGATAAGTTCTTGACTTTACAACTTTAAAAATCTATTCTTAAAAGAAGGCTAAAACATTTGAAAAAGCTATGACTGTTCCACATCCTGCTACCTTGATAGAAGGATGAAAGACAATGATCAGATAACAGTAGAAATCTTTTCGTCTTATACTACCACTTCTTACACTTTATAAACTGAGATGGCACTGTGGCTATTTATCTCACTTCTACAAGAACTTAAGAATATATTAAACCACATAGGCATTTTGTAGAATTAGTTACTTCAAAGGAAATCCCACAAATCATAAAATGAAGTCTGTACTGCAGTGAGTTTTAGAGCAGCTTATTCTACTACAGAGTTTTCAGAAAATATTTTATTGCTTTAATTGATTCATTTTCTGAGGAAGATTCCAAATTTTCCAAATTGATTCATTTTCCAAAGAAGTGCCAAAGATCACTTCCCATTTCAAGATTAAAATACACACTTTCAAAACCATCCTCAGTCATGGTGGAATATACCATTTAACTGTAACTAGTAGGAGACATCCTTATACTGATGATTGCAAGGAAAAAAAGAGAAGTGTACACAAATACTATGGCACTTACAACACAAATTAGGTGGTACTGTCCTAGTCCCCACTGGTTTTATCTTGGCCCTTCAGGCCAAATAATCAAGAACGTATTATGTATACTGTAGTAGTAATAATACATGTAGCAGGTGGTGTGGAATCTGACTCACAACCTACACAGGCTTATTTCCACTTTTCTGCTGTATAAGCACTTTTGGGAATGAGCTTGCACAACGCATATATGCATGCAACCAATCTTCTCTAGACATACTGCTCTCAGGGTTCATAGACTGATAGAGATGACAACACTAGAGATTACTAATCACTGCTGACTAGCAGTGATTTATTTTTTTTAAATAAGAAACCATTTTAGTTACAAATGGGGTATTTCTTATCAGGTTCAGCTGGGATATCACTCTACCAATGCATGAAACTTCTAAAGTTCATTTTAATCCACGTAAAAATGTCACCATTGCACCCTTGTCGTACCCCTTGTACAAGATAAAAAATAAAATTCATCTTTGAGGAGCAAAGACAGGGTTATGAAAATATGGAGTGAACTAAGAGTACACTTCAATTGTAAATCTTATTTTTTACATTTTCTACTTCTTGTGGTTTATACAATGCTGCAGAACAATTCTGGCTTTTTTTTAATCACCAAATATTAATGATTTCATACAATTACATACATATTACATGAGGCCTTCCACCTTGTTAATATGTCTTTATTATATATGGGACTGTCACGCTCACATTCTTGATGTGCATTATCTTCACTCAAGGCCAAGGAACAAAATTTGCTAAGAAACATAGTTGTGGGAATTCCTACAAACAAGTGAAGACTGGACTCATCTTGGGATTATCACCTTTCTACTATGACGAGTGCCTTTATCTTACTAAAAGTGGAAAGCCAGTACTGCTTACAAAGCAGAAAGCTGGAAAAGTAGAAGACCACCAAAATTTCTTTTAGCCATGACTTGAGAGGAAAAAGTAGTAGAAGTGTGGGTTGTGGGATGGAATGTTGATATGAAGTGAACACAAAATCTGTCTCTATGCATTAGTAGTAACAGAATAGAGCAGTCAGGTTGAAGATGATAGAAGAACATTACCATAAAATTTCACCAAACTATGTTAGTACAAACCTAGTAATTTCATGCCTTTATCTGAATTTAGCCTGCTTTTTGCTATTACATAATACATGTTTTTAATGACAATTTAGAAGTATTACAAATTGCAGAAACAAAGGTACTTGTACTAAAAAGACAAGGGTTTGGCAGTGGGTGTCTGTTGTCAACCTAAAAGAAATAACCTATTAAATTGTCTGAGGTACAGGGAGGATGCTTCAGGTATATATACAAAATAAACCAAATAGAAAACAAGAGACCCCTAACAGAAAATGCTATCTGCTTAAATACTTTTTTTTTTTTTTTACAGCACCCAAGACTAAAGCTGTTAGCGTATTATGCCATGAGAGCACAAACAACAGAAACACAGAATTAAAACCCTCAAAAATCTGATATAAGTTTGAGAGGTCCCATTGACAATGAGGTTTGTTGCTGGTTTTCTTTTTGATTAAACTTGTTTGCCTTTCAGAATTTAACGTCTTTAGAAGACTTAACATTCAAATCAAAGTCAAAGAAGAATAGAAAAAATATGTTAGGTTCAGATACAACATCCTGAAAATATCTATTACCTGCATAAATTAGTTTTTGTCCAGCTACTGGAAAAGCATCTTTCCCCCTTTCTGATTCAATCTTCTCTTTCAGCGCCTTCACCTAGAGTACAGAAACAGTCTTGTTGAAAAAAATTGCTTTACAACAAAAACCTTAAGTACACTTTGTTCTTAAGCTTTTATTTCTAAATAGTAGTTTTCAGTCATATATTGATTATGCACTTAAAGTACATCGGTCTTTCAAAGATGTCAGCAAAAACTTTCCTAGTGCAATGTGTACCCTTCCACAAATACTCTAATTCAAATACAAAGATGAGAGACAACTCATTTATCCATAAAAATTCTTAAGCACAAGACTACCACAGTAAGAAGCTGAGAAATCTGGTCAAAAATGCTTCTATCTTCTAACCCACTTCTCTTCCCTGTTCTTTCTCTGAATGCAGGGGTACACATACTATGCACAGCTAAAATTATTCTTTATCATGACTCTTCATGGAATGTCTTTTTTTTTTTTTTGTAAGGTCACAGTGACATTTGATTTAACTTGCTGGAATCACGTGAAACCTTGATAAGCAACAACTTGTGCAAATTGTCCAGTTGTTCATTTTACAGACATAGTTCTCAATTATTTCCCCTTCCCGATAATATGCGGAGCTTTGCGTAACAAATGTAAGCCTACCCCAAAATCATTTTGCCCTATTTACTTGTTTACACAGGCCACTGATTTATAGCCTACACTTTCAGAGCACTGCAAACAACAGCTCAAATGACACAGTTTTAGCTGCCATGAACCAGGGGGCATGCGTTCTCCACAAAGACTGCGTAACAATATCATGAAGAGACAAAGGTTGTTCTTGTAGAACAGTGTCTGTAGCAACACATTTGAAATCGTATACCTATATCAAAACATTCATTCTTGCTTCCTGACAGACAGATGCCGCCAATCTGTTATGAACTTACTGATCCAAACTCCACCTTCTAGAGCTTTCTTTTTCCTGCATATTCATAAGTTTTTTCATTCAACGCTTTGCTGTTAATAAGCATGTATCTAGCAATTCAACCAGCTACGCATGAGAAAATGCATTTGCCCTGACAGCTGAGCTGGACTGGGAATTATTTGTACCACAGGTAGCTGCAGTAGTATCATTGCTCTTAATTTCATTTTTTTTAAAGCAGTAGCTCACTACTAGGGTTGCTTACATAGTAAATATACTGAAACATCATTTTCAGATGTTAAATGGTAAGTATTTACTGAGACTCAAAAAAGCCAGCTTTTCAACACAATTAAAACCTGTCATCCACTTGACACGCCAGCCATACTTCCTGGTTTCCTATTATTCCTTTGTAAGTGCTGTAAATAACCTGTTTTATTTCTTCTTTTCCTTCATTGGCCTCCTCTCCTCCCTCTTCCTCTCAGATTTTACTTCTGAGGTTTATTAATGGGTTAATTCTTTCACATTTTGGATGTTTGGTCCAGCAGGGATTGACAAAACTTGAACACTGACGAGAAGCTGCATCTTTTCAACAGAAACAAGTAAGAGCTTGCTTGTTTTACTATACTTCTTAACCCATCAAAGGAGACCTGCAGAATATAATCCATTCTGTAAGCCTGCACCTAAGTGATACAGGTGACTGAACCACTAGACACACAAGGATACAGAACACAAGCTGGACATTTGCTTTTCCACAGCAAAACAGCAGCTCACCACTATCCATTAGTATTCGAGAAGGTCAAAGCATTAACTACTGTAATACTACTGTTTTGCTGATAGCATCATCAGTCTGTGCACTTCCTTGTACAAAAGTCAGTTCTATTCCTGGACTTACATTTATTTAATAGCTTAAGAAGATCGTTTCCTTGAAAACTAAAAATTTAAGTTGTGAATTCATCCCCAATTATTATTTAAAGCTGACAGTCACTCATAAAACAACAACCTACTTAAGCCATGGATAAGCTATCAAGCATCTTTTCTAAAACTTTTAAAGTATTAGGTTCTACAGGCAATGCCAGTTAAATTTCCTGCTCCCATCAGGGAACATTAACTCCAAAACCATGTTGAAAATATGTGGTTTAAATGCCCACATTTTAACATACTCCTTAACTATTCATGTATTTAGGTACTTGTACTAATGACTCAACGATGACACCTCAAAGCACTTTACTCAGTCACTAGGTCTGCTACAGACACAGAATAAATATTGTACTGTGATCAGCAAGTACTACCTATTTTGACAGAGAAAACTAAGGCTTTTTTCAAGTCCTCTGCACTCTTTCAAGCTACTGTTTTCAGATGTCTCCTGACTTTCTGAAAGTTTTTATTATTGTTGATGTCATGACTATGGCCAGGACAAGCTAAACACACTAACACACAATAATTGCACTGTGTTTAGGAGTTTGGTATTTATTGCCTTTGTGAAATAGTGACTGTAAATGCAGATAACATTACAGAGTTACACGCAAGCAGTTACCACTGCTTTACCTTTGCTGTGTGACAGGAGCAGAGCTGTCAGTGGTCAGCAGGAGCAGAGCACCGAGTACGGTGATGCCACCTGCGAGTACAGTGATGCCACCTGCATGAGCCTGGAGTGTGGTAACTCCAGCTGTGCAAGCTTAGCCCCCCCCATGCATCCCTAGAGGTCCTCCACAGGCAGCTCTCACAGAATCACAGCAGCACACTGGGTAGGACAAAACAACGTGTTTGCTCCCCACATACAGAGGCACTATGGCTGGAACCCGCCAATACAGTGGCTATGAGTCGCTTCCTACAGGAATTTAAAAAAAAAAAAAAAAAAAAAAAGAAATCAGGAGAGAAGGCTGTTACTATTTCCAATATAGGTCTCCTGTATTTTCTGTACTTGCTAGATATGTCAATCATTCTGGGAACACATAATATACTAAATTCAAACACAAATTACTTCAGACCTCTAACATTTCTCCAGCTGACAAACAGTTTACACAGAGCTAAAACAAATTTAAGCTTAACATAGCTCAACTAATTTACAGTAATTTGCTAACTATATGCATAGACACTGCCGTTTGCAAAGGCAAAGAACATTAACTTAAGCTTCTCATTTAACAGGACATGCACTCTAGTCTACAGCAAAACTTTTGCCATGCAAAGGTACATCATGTGGTATGTTGATTCACAGTTAACTTGACACATCATGAGCTCCACATTATAAATTAAGAAATTCTGGAATGTGGTTCAGGTTGTTCCTATTAAATTGGAAATGTAACATAAATACAAGTAATTTCCAGATGATACATTTCCAAACATGTCCTTACATTTCCAAACATGGCAACTGTTTATAGAGAAGAGTAATTTATATATGCGAAACCCTATTGTATCTCAGATGAATTGACTTAAGCGATCATACCTTTTTAATGGAAAAAATAAATGAACTTAAGCCAGCTCCTAACTACCAGCTTGAATTGTAGAGTGATTTGTGTTGGATGGGACCTTTAAGGATCACTTAAGTCAAAACTCCTGCCACAGACAGGAATATCTTCCATTAGATCAGGAGGCCCAGAGGCCCATCCAACCTGACTCTGAACACTTCCAGTGACGGGGTGTCCACAACTTCTCCAGGCTACTCCCCACTGTCCTGTTCCAGAGTCTCACCACCCTCACAATGGAATGTTTCTTCTTTATGTCCAGTCTAAATCTACCCTGCCTTTCAGTTTAAAACTCTTATCCCTTGTCCTGTTGCTACAGGCCTGGGTAACAAGTCTTGTTCAGTTTTTGTTAGAAGCCTCCTTTAAGTATTGAAAGGCTGCAGTAAGGTCTCCCTGGAGCTTTCTCTTCTCCATGATGAAGAAACCCAACCCTTTATTCACAGAAGAGGTGCTCCAGTACTGTGAATGTTTTCATGGCCCTCCTCTGGGAACAAACATGAATTATTTTCAGTGATGCTCAATGTCAAGACAAGACACAAGGGGCACAAATCAAAACACTGGAGGTTCCCTCCAAACATCAGGAAGGAATTCTTTACTGTGTGCGTAGTGGAGTCTCCCTCCTTGGAGATCTTCAAAAGTTGCCTAGACATGGTCCAGGGCAACCTGCTCTGGGTGTCCCTGCTTGAGCAGGGTGGTTGGACCACATGACCTCCAGGCACATGTTCCAACCTTACGCATTCTTTGAATTGACGCTTATTCTTAAAGATGGTTTCACAGAGTATGAATTGTATTTACTTTGCAGCACTGTGACTGCTGTATAGTCCCAGGAGAGATGCTCTGGGGACCCCAGCACAAGAAGGACCACAAAGATGATCAAGGGGCTGGAGCACTTCTATGAAGACAAGCTGAGGGAGCCAGGGTTGTTCAGCCATGAGAAGAGAAGGTTCCAGGGAAACTGGAACTGGCTGGGTGAAGAATGGATTGCAAGCAGCTCTGAGGAGAAGAATCTGGGGGTGTTTGTTGATAAGCTCAACATGAAGCATTTAAGGCCACGCTGCACGGGGCTTTGAGAAACACGGCCTAGTGGAAGGTGTCCCTGACCACAGCAGAGGGTTGGAATTAGATAATCTCTAGGGTCCCTTCCAGTCCCAACCATTCTATGAGTCCATGATCCTATATTCCAGTCCCTTGATCATATTAGTAGCCCTGCACTGGACTCTCTATTGTGTCCAGGTCTCTCTTGTAGTGGGGGGCCCACAACTGGACAAAGTAATACAGGTATGGCCTCACCACTGCTGAGGGAAAGATCTCCTCTCTTGTCCTAATGTCTGTACTTTGCCTAATGCAGCCAAGAATAATGATAGCTTTCTTAGTGGCAAGGGCACATCGCTGACTCATGCTCAACTCGGTGCCCAGCAGTTCTCCCAGGTCCGTTTATGCAGAGCTGCTTTCCAGCTGGGTGACCCCCAGCATGTCCTGGTGCCTGGGGCTGTTCCTACCCAGGGGCAGGACTGCAATTCTCCATGTTGAACTGCATGAGATCCAGCCAGCCAGGCCATTTCTCCAGCCTGTTAAGGTCCCCCTGGGTGGTTGTGAGGCCCTCTAGTGAGTCAGCCACTTCCCCAAGTTTCATGTCTTTGTGTCATCCATGAACTTACTGACAGTGCACTCCACCCCATCATCTAGGTTGTTAAGGAAGATGCCAAACAAGACTGACCCAGTACTGACCCTTAGGGTACTCTACCTGTTACTGGCCTACGTCTACACTTTGCACCACTGACTACAACCTGCTGGCACTGGCCCTTCAGCCAGTTTTTGATCCACCTCAATCTGCCCACCCAGCCCATACCTCCAACAGCTTCTCTACAAGGGACAGGGTAAAAGGCCTTACTGAAGTCCAGGTAGGCAACATCCATTGCTTCCCCCCATATACCAAACTGGTGATTTCATTACAGAAGCTGGTTGGGTTAGTCCATGTTCTGGTTTAATCTCAGCAGGCAGCTCAGCAACACACAGCTGCTCAGCTGGATGAGGGAGAGAATCAGAAAGGTGAAAACGCAATAACTCATGG